AGTGCCCTCCTCCCTTACTCCCGGCTCTATTTATAAGCATGCAAGGCTTTCTTGCCATATTAACAAGGTTTTCCCACCCTTGGCTTTGAAATTTTATCACTTATTTTTTTTCAAAGCCACTAAAATTCAGGATTCTAGGAATTAAGATCAAAGACTAAGTAAAAATAGTATTCTGTATCAAATCTAAGATTATCTCACTTATGAAACTGTTGGGGCAGAAAAATAACTTCCTTCCACTTCAAGGTCCTTCTGACTGCTCTAATAATCAAATTCACATGAGACATTAGCAGAAAGAAGGCAAATTCAAGCTTAATTATGATAAGAGACCCCCGGAGCAGTAACTCGTCAAAATGATGGAAGCCAGCACCTTAAATACCACTTTCACCTGAAGATAGAGAAGGTGTTGGAGGTGGAGAGTCAGTTATGGGAGGTGACAAGGAAGAGCACAATAGACAAGAGTAAGATTATTATGTAGATGTAAGACCTGCCTTCTGCACTGACTGTGAATGCAGGCCTGCTGTACGTGAGGGAGACACCTCTACAGGTGGAGGCTTCCCTTAAAAGCGTAAAAATTGTTTCACAGCTGTAACTTCTACTTGCTTTTCAGAGCTTCTCCCACATCTGTTGCTTACAATTGACCAGTGTAAAATGATCAATATCCCCAAAAGGCATATTTTAGGGTTGTAAACTTTGCTTACCTCTTTTGTATTAAAGGGGAACATAACTACCAAGGTGAGGGCAAAATTATAATTTAAACTCATCTTTATATTTTGAGTAGCGAATCTAAGAACTGTAAAATGGCTGTAGAAAAAAACAGTAGGGATATGAAGAGTGGACCAGGAGAGTGTTTTCACTCAATAATTAGTTTCTGAATTAATGTAGTTGCAGACTGTGTATTTGAGTGTGGAATGACTGATTTTATTCACATTTTCTGTCTCCTTAAGATTATTGCCTATATATCAAGAATTTGTTGAAATCATCTGCTCAGGAGTAGTATCTAAGTTTATTTTATCTTGCCAGTTTTCATAGATCATTTTTAGTGTATACCTTTAAATATGAAATAGAATTTTCTTGCAATTTAATAAATCTTGGATATGGTGAATCTCGAGCAATGCAGTTATTACTTATTTATTTTTTGGCCTTATTCGAAACAGGATTTGAGGCACCACTCACAGTGTGTTGACTATAAATCTTTGTCTCTTCATACAGAAGTAATGTAACCTAAGACCATGATCCATCAATTGTGCTTGTGCTTTCTCTGTATCTGAACCTGATCTGATTTTGCTGGTTTGCTCTGGTGAAGCATCTGCTGCTATTTTAGTCTGATAGTCTTTTTTTTTTTCTGCACATGAAAAATTGGACTCTTATTTTTATTTGAAAAATGTTGCATGTTGCATGTGTTATTTCTCTCGCTATTAGTTATACCGAAGTAGGTTAGGAGATGGGGAGCTGGCAACAGCCCTTTGGGGTCTGGCCTTCCTCACTTGAACAGTTCAGGTGTGACCTCAAAAGGTCTGGCTCAGTGGATAGAGCATCGGCCTGCGGACTTAAAGGTACCAGGTTTGATTCCAGTCAAGGGCATGTACTTTGGTTGCGGGCACATCCTCAGTGGGGGGTGTGCAAGAGGCAGTTGATCGATTATTCTCTGTCATCGGTGTTTCTAACTCTCTATCCCTCTCTCTTCCTCTCTTTAAAAAATCAATAAAACATATTTTTTTAAAAAAAAATAGGACATGGGAGGATTGTCCATTGGGTTTGGGTCATGTTTTTTGTAATGACTTAGGGTATAAACCATTGAGTTCCATAGTGTTAAACGTAGGGCACCGTCTTCTCAGTGAGATTCTTGGAACTTTGGTTATGAATAAAGCTTATCATATGATCTCTGAGGCGAGGCTGTGAGTGTGGGGCCAACACAGATAACCTTGTTCTCTCTCCCACAGGAAGCGGGAGAGCACCATCTGCACTCAGTATTTATCCTATTAAAGCAAATTCTTACCACTGCAGTATATTTTGAAAGAGGAAGGGTAGATGGGATCATGGCTCTGTTCGCTTCACAGGTGAAGAGGGACATGTTGACCATTAGTTTTAAATATGTGGACTTTGCACAGCAGGTAACTCAACAGTGTTTACCTGAAAATACTTTGGCACTGCTAATTAAATATGAAAGGAGAAGCTGAGCTTGTTCTGTTCATTAGCATTGTCCAAAGGACTGTCAGTATTGCTTCATCATTATAGGTATTTGGTGCCCAGTGAAAAAATTTACCAAGTTTATAATATGTTCTTCCTTTTTGGCTTCTTAGTTTTTGTTTAGTGTGTGTTTTTGTTTTTAGAAAACAGGGGATACACCTTTTAGATCATTGAGCCCCGCACAGGCTCAGCAAGTGCCATTAATTTGAATGACCAATCAAGAGGGAAGGGGCGACCTGTCCTCCCATCTGTTAGGCATTGGGCATATTGAGACTACAGTGAAGTGCTCAGGCCTTCCTTTGTTGCCTCTCCTCCCACTGGAAGGACCTATCCTTTTCTTGGCTTTATTAATACTCATTTACTACTTTTTGTTTTCTGCCTTATTTGCATTTCTCTCATTTTTATATGTGTCTGAAGACACGTAACTTCAATACATTTTTAAATTCACAAGCACAGTTACAATTGTATTTCTCACACTACATAAAGTGTAACTGATTTTAAGAGATCACTTAAGAACTTTAGTGATTGTAAAAGGACTAAAGCCATGAAATTATTAATTTATGTTAAATTAATATAAATAAATAAACTGAAACCAACTGCATCACGAAAGGCTTTATTGCACTGTCATTATACAGACAAGAACTTCTCCTTCTGACCCTTTAACACCCCATGGTTGGCAAAATCATAATACTGGTGAGACTCGATCCTGAGACCTACCACACAGAAGAGTCGTCTGGTCCTTGGCCAGCTTCAGCTTTGATGTTGGCCACTCCTTCTTGGATAAGTCAGTTGACAAACTTGACAAGGGGTGTTGTGGTGCTTCCTGTCTGTCCCTCACCATCCACCTCCTCACCTCTCACTGCCTCCAGCCTGCCTGAGGCTCTCATCACCCTCTGCCACCCACATCTAGGTAAGCTCCCTGCAGCCTCCCAAATCCTCTCCTGCTCTGACAGCTGCTGTCCACACTGAAGACAGAGTTTTAGTTTTTAAATGACACCTGATTTTGTCACCTTCCCTTCTTAGAGCTTCTCAATGACTTCTCGTTGCCTGAAGGATAAAGATGAGAATTTCTGAAGAGGCCTGAGCTGTGTGTGCCCGCCCTGCACTCTCCACCTGCCCTTTCTCCTTTGGTCCTGGACTCACCTGCTCCCTCCTCTCTGGGAAGTTCAGACACATGGTCCTGCCCCTCACTCAGCCTCTTGGTGACTGTACACCAAGTATGTCAAACTTGTGGCTTGTGAGCCGCAAGCTTCATTTATTTGGCCTACGTTAACCTTTGAGTTTGACATGCTTCTCAGAGCACTGGTTTTCACTTGAGTTGTAATCCTGGAGAGTTTCTTCTAAGTGATTGTTTCTTCTAAGCGATTGTCAGGAGCCCTGACATGGGCTCATGGTGGAGCCTGGCATATTTGTTCTGTGGTACATGGCACTGTGTGGTGTGTGTTGAGTACATAATAATGCAAATGGCACATTATTTTCCCAAGTTCACATAGGGGGAGTAACCACTAGGCATATTGTCTCTGTACCATGTATCATCATCTGCTTTTTGTCTAACAAAGCTGTGTGGGTAAGGTCACAATCACCATTTTCTTTTTTAAACTATTCACACATATGCATATATATTTCTCTGGATGGCAAGATTATGGGTGATTTAGGTGATTTTTATTTTCTTTTTGTGCTTTCCGATTTTTCTATAATGTAGATGGATAACTTTTATAAATAGTAGAGAGGGAAAAAGTAAATTTGTTTAGCACTAGATATGTTTATATAAAAGGGGGAGAAACAGGTTTCAAAACAGAATAATTGTCAACATTTCTAAAGTGTTATGTGCATTTACGTCTTCCATTAGTGGGAGGAATTAAAACAAGACTGCAGTCAGTTGTGCAAGAAAGAATTGTTTTCTTTGGCTATTGGATACTTAGCTCAAGGGCAGGTGAATTTGATCTGAGGAAATAATGAAACTCAATTTAAGAAAGTTTTTACCCCTGAAAAAGTATTTAGGATGATATAACCAAGTACTTTCTTTTTATTTGGCTGAGAACTCCTTTCCTTGCCTTCACCCATATCCACGACTGGGCCCATGTGTCAGTCTCCCCTTCCTGCATCATGACCATCCTTGGGTTTTACCAATTAAAGCAGCTAAGAGCACTGAAATGCTTTGATTACACAACTGGCTCTTTTCAATTCTTCCCTGTGTAGAATTGAACTCCTTCCTCTTTGCTTCTGCTTCCTATCAATGACATGTCCCTATGGCAGCATCTTGAGCAAGTCACTGTGATACCTGCTTGCTTCACTTTTCCTTTTGACCAAAAGGTAAGTTTTGCAAGAGACAGTGGACTTGCTTACCTGCCCATCATGCTGTCCCCTCTCAGTACTTGGCAGGTATACAGTGTACTTTTCAAAGATGAATTACATCTAGGGTAATGGTGTAGGTTCACATTTAGACCTATGAGGTCAAAGAGACAGGACTCAAGAAAAATAGATTAAAGACTGAGAAGAGCAATTTTGAGAGTGTTAGGGAAAAGAGGACATTTGCCAAAGGATTGAAAATATCTGCCTAATGCTGTTATTGCCATGTGAATAACCCGGAGAAATGAACACCATTGGAGAAGGGTTCTACCATACTTTCAACGATGCATTTAAATACAAAGGAGTATATTGCTATCATCCACATTATGGATGAGTTATACTCACGTGTTGTCATCTGTGACTTCTGGAATAACCTATTTATTTAACCAAATAAACTGGCCATTTCCTTGATCTCATTTGCTTGGAAAAATATTTACTTATTTTTATGTCTGTCTTTTGAACAGCATCCTGGTGGGGAAGAAGTCTTACGGGAACAAGCCGGAGGGGATGCTACTGAGAACTTTGAGGATGTTGGGCACTCGACAGATGCTAGAGAATTATCCAAGACGTACATCATCGGGGAGCTGCATCCAGTATGTGCTTTTTGGGGGCCTGTACTTCTTTCTCTTTAAGGCTATGGTTGACATTACCCAAATCTGTAGACTTGCAGATGTATTTATTTATTTATTTCATTTTTTTTATTAAGGTATTATATGTGTACATATCTAACCATTGCCCCCCTAGACTTGCAGATTTAAAAAGGAGTAAAGTAGAACAATTCCTCCTGACTTTACAACACCATTTTTGTCAGAAACAAATTGCCTAGAAGTTTCTTTGCATTTCCCTGGTTGCGTTTTCCATTGATATTTAGACTCAGAATCCTCTAACCCCGAGGCCATGCCCTAGGGACAGGGATCAAACTTAGTGTTTAGCAGCCTAGATAGATGAACCTGAAAGGGTAATTACTGAACAGTAACATTTTTTTTTAGAAATCGCAGTAAAATGAGCACTTTGGAAATGGCACATTTGTAGACATTTCCATTCTATAATGTGTCTTGTGTTTTATTGCAGGATGACCGACCAAAGATAACCAAACCCCCGGTAAGTGTAACCATCTTGATATCTCGGTGGCCATAGTTATTGCCACTGTGTCTCATCCCTGAAAACTGGAGGGCAAAGGTCTCTTACAGACCTGACTGAGGCCAGCACAGGCATGTTTCTTGGTTAAATGAATAATCTGTTGGGTTGGCTCAACAGACTTTTGTATTTGTATAGACCAGCCATTATGTTTCATTAGGAGAGGCGTGTATTCTCATCATAAACTCTCAATACCTAAGAGAATTTTCCCATCATGATTATCAGTGGATACCTTTTGATGAGCTAGCTCCTTTTGATAACTTGCACTGTGCCTTTGGAGTGAAAGATTTGACTCAGCCTTATTTTCAGAGAACTTAAAATCTGATTGAGCTGAGGTCTTAATGCTTAAACCTTTGAGTACACTTCCCATGTCTTCATCTTCACATCTCTGGGGCATAGTAGATGATAAATTCAATATTATTTAAATGAAATGATAATTTTTGGTGTATTTTTTCCTTAGGAAATGAAAATAACTCTAGTGATACTAATTTTGTCCAGGTTCTCTAGCCCTTCTCTCTGAGGTGGTCATTTCACTTGTACATGAAGATAAATCCAGAGTAAGAATTGTGACAACCGCCAAAGTCCCTGAAAGTACAAGTGGGAAAAATAGTCCTGGGCCTGTAACTAAAGGACTCTGGGGGAAGTTTGCTTGAAACAAATGACAGAAAGTATACTTTTTTGGTTTATGTTCTTGGTTTTATTAGAGAGAGCACAACAGCAAGACTGCACAGGGCTCGTGTTAGGATCTGGTGAACTCATTTATCAGCTGCTACTGACAAGACATTGTCTAAATTTAATCCACAAGAGAATCAAGCAGTTAATCCAGCAGAGCATAGAGGGCCACATGTACCTTGGTACCCCACATAATACAATGAAAGTCTGTGTGATATCGTTTCATTTATATTCTCTTCTTTCCCTATTCAAGGAAGGCTTAAGTTCAATGTTTTTATCTTTGGGAAGATAAAAAATGGACTTCAGATTTTGACTAGCTTCTGTAACAATTGCTTAGAATCCTTGCTGTTGGTTAATATGGCTTTAGCACCTTATGAAGTTTTTGCTTTTTTTCCAAAGCTTGTCAGGGAAAAAGTATAATTTATCCTGTTAGGTGCTTTGTGTTGAGTAATCTTGGTGTGAATTATTTGGCTATAATCAAACAAGGATTTGCTAAGGCTCAGTATGTGAGCTTAGATCTAATGCAGGTCCAACCATTTCCTGGACCAGAATGCCTACCAGCAGATAGCACCAATTAGGACTAAGGTCTCCCATCGTCACTGCTTTATTTTTGAAAGACAGACTCTTTTCTCCTGTCTGCTTTTAGAACAGACGTGGCCTTGCTTACATTAGAGCAGAACAAGAGGACTATGGGACAAGAACGGGCTCTTTTTCTTAGAGGCCGAAAGCAAATTTAGTGAGAGGAAATACGGGACCACTGTTCCAGACTTCCCTTTTGTGTGGTCTGGTTTGCCAGAAGAAGAGAGTGTCCTTAGATGGTTCTTTTGTTGTGAGTCTCTGGATAACCATCCGTCTACCTCCAGACTGATAAATGTATGCTGTGGTCTGAATTTTTGAAATGTTGCCTGCTGAACATATCTAGTTGAGTTGTAAAATAAGATGAACCAAAGATTATTGGCTTGATTCTGCCCAAAGGAAAGTATAATGTTAAATTGCCAAAAATAAGGTCTTTGCAGACTAGAAATGATGCATTTTAAATGAATAAAACTATATCCAATTTGCTTACATGGAGGATATGAGTTGCAGTGCCTTTTCTTGGTTGTAGTTTTCAAAGCATTGCTGTATGTATGATTTTATTTGGTTCTCAGACACCCCTGAGAAGATGAAGATTCAGGATGTAGGGAAGGTACACTCGGACCTTGTCCCAAGTTTGACCTTGCTCAAGGTCGCACTGCAGCACCAGGGCCAGCACCCATTTTAGGATTGACAGTTGCAGACTTTTAAAGCTTATATAGGCTCTCGACTTTGCATGAAAACCATTAGTCTGACAATAGTATTTTTAGGAAAGAGTTCCAATTAAGGAATGGCCTAAGTTAGAACCTATAAATTAGATGACTTTGATTTGCAAAAGCTTGATGGCCTTTGCATATCTTTATATAGAGCTTATTATGTACTGTGTTTAGAAGTTGCTGGGAGGTAGCTTGTTAACTTGCTTGACATTGAATCCCTCAAGGTCACAGAGTGAACAGGTGGCAGAGCCTGTAACAAAAACCATGGTCTTTTCTCTCTGTTTGTGGTTGACTTATTGGTTAGTTACATACCAAAGCCCAGCTTAGCCCCTTGAGAGCATTGGGCAAGAAAGACCGTTTCCTTTTTTATCAATGGGCTAATTGGTAATTCAAACTTGCTTTATTCTCAAGCATCCTGTGGTAAGAATCTAACAGTTCACAAGCAAAACTCACATATGATCTCTTAAAGGTCAGCTCTGTACAATTTCACTGTTGCTGCTGGTGGTGAGGAAGTTCCAGTGGTGTTTGAGCATCAGTGCTCAGGCCGCGTGGACGGAGGGAGGCCAGGCCAGCTGTGTCCACAGAGTTGCCAGCATGTTTGGTCAAGTGCATGTGCATGTGCTCCATGTCACAAAGTAACGGATGCATGTTTGCCTATTGCTGTTTACTATTTCAGGCCTAACTTTCTGGTGTGACAATAATATTTTTGCCTTCAATGAACTGTTGTGTTTCAGAGTTGATTATGTCTTTTAATAGCCAACTAATATTTTTGCATATTCCACTTCTAAGAATCTTTGTTAACTTTATGTATATAAAATTTGAAAAATCACCTTGCAGTAGTTGTGAATATTCGTTGTAGTCTCCAGGATTGAACAATGCTCAAAAAGATAAAAAAAAAAAAAAAAAAAAGTAAAGTTTTCTTTTTTTAATGATTTATTCCTCCCTCTCCCTTCCCGTGTCAGGAATCTTAACGGCCATGTTCCCAGGTTGGTGGGTCTCTGAACTGCTTTGCTTGCTCATCCCTAACAGGTGTCCGCCCTTCGGCGGCAGCTTCAACATGCCTGCTGTGTGGAGCTTCGCCTCAATGCAGACCTCACACCGCTGCTTGTGTTGCTAACGGTTTTTTGTTCTGCGCTTTGAGACCCTGCAGAGATGAAATGCTGCTGTCGCCTTATTTATGGCTCCCTTCCTCTGTGGTTCTAATGCTTTTGCTGGTGTGGATTTCAAAAGAATGCTTCTAAACACATTTGCAAGCCTGGAAAAGTTTCTGAGTCACAAGGCCTTAGTCATTCAGCTGTTTGAGGAAGTGTGCATTTTCCAGAGCCATCTCAGTGCACTTTCCCTGTCTGACAAGAACTCTCGGAAGCTGCTGGGAGGTAGACAGGCTGGAACCTGTCTACCAGCCCACAGGGGCGTCCTGTTCTGAAGGTTCTGTGGTGACAGTGTGAGGTCAGTCCTCAAGGCCTCCACGATCTTTCTAGAACTGTCTTGTCAGAGCTAAAGAAAGGTTGCACAGTGTATTACAATTTAAATGGTGGTTTTTAATTTTTTTTTTCTTTTTGGTTGACACGTCCTTTTAATATAATTTGGGGACACTTTTACTTCATATAAGATTTGAATAAAAGAAATGTATTTATTGAACATTTCATTCATGATTTTGAAGAATTAAACTTTCTTCCTAAAGGTAATAATGGGGTTGTGTGTGTGTAATCATAGCTGTTGTTCTTTTTTACGTTAACTATTCAGATATCTGTTGTGTACAGGATCTTTTTGTAGCCTATTATTTTTTAACATTTTCTTTCAAATTCTCTAGGTTATGTTCATAAGTAATTTAAATGTAGATCATTTTTAAAATTCTTTAGAAAAAAATGTTGAAATTAGGCATTTTAGTGAAATGATGTAATTTCCCCTTTCAATATCTTTTTGAAGAATGCAGTAGATGAATGTGATCTTATTATAAAACAGGTTTTTCAGTCCGTTGTTCCCCTTAACTTATTTTACTTTTTCTCTTGTGTTTCAGGAAACTCTCATTACTACGGTTGACTCAAATTCTAGGTATGTGGTAGTTTCCTTTTAAAATTATTGTGATCAGCCAAAACCGGTTTGGCTCGGTGGGATAGAGCATCAGCCTTCAGACTGAAAGGTCCCAGGTTTGATTTTGGTCAAGGGCTCGTACCTTGGTAGCAGGCACATCGCCAGTAGGATGGTGAGCAGGAGGCTGCTAATTGATGTTTCTCTCTCATCGATGTTTCTAACTCTCTATCTCTCTCCCTTTCTCTCTGTAAAAAATCAATAAAATATATATTAAAAAATAAAATTATTGTGATCAGAAAGCTCCTAGAATCAGGGTTGGACGAGAGACCCGTCCCTGACTTCAGGGCCTCTCTGATGCTCGGGCTCTCATGGAGCCCCCTTAGTGGACATCCAGGGGTCACCTCCACTCAGCACCCAGACTGCTCTGGGCATTCTCTTCTAAACTGCACCCAGCTCAGGTCACAAATCTCGCCCTCCAGCTGCACCTACCTGAAGGGACAGAAGGAGCAAACCAGTCTCTTTTCCCCACAGGGCAGTTCAAGGGCTGCACAACCTTTTAATCTCCAATCATTGTATCTCCTTCCTCATTTGATATGTGGTCAGTTCCTTAAACTGCAGTGATTCTATCTGTCTAAGCATGACTCATTTTCCCGTGGCCCTGAAATTGAACCCTGTCATCCAGGTGTTGCCCGAATCTGTGGACTAGATTTCTTCAGCTTTAGTCCAGGATCATGGGAACATTTTTGGCAGGTCCGTTGTATTGACTTGTATAATTTCCACCATATAAATATATATTTTGGACCCTAGCCCCAAACCACAGATTTATGCCAATTTTATTTCACCCTGTGAAAGTTAATTGCCTGGGCTGTTGGTGTTCTGGTTCCTTCCTTGCTCTGGGCTGTACCCCACCTTGCTCTTCACTGCTGCATTGTTCCTTCCAATGTTCCTTCCAAAAGGGAAACTGAAACCCAACAGAGACGAAAATCACACTTGTGATCTTCTGCAATTGAAATCTTTATACTGACTTGGTCTTTGAATGGGTTGATGTGTGCAGAGGATTGAAGGATGGAAAATGTATGGCAAAAAATGGATGTATATATAGGTCTTGCCTGGCTTTATTCAGGTTCTAAAACCTGTGTGTTAATTTCTGTTTCCTAAGAAATGATATGTTCACATCTAAATAAAGACCTCCCTAGCTCTGCCCCTGATTTGATCTGTAATCTGTTATTTATAGTAGGTCCAAAATCCTCTGCCTCAGGACTAATCACTAGGTCAATTAGTCATTTTTGTGAACTTCCAACTGTGGGCTACATGTGTTTTCTTAACATGCTAAGTCTACTACATGCGTGTAAAGATTAGATTTTTCCAAACAGAATACAAGCAGTAGAGCTGTGGTGCTGGTCAATCTTAATCACCCTATGGTTCAAAGTCATTACCTTTCCTTCCAAGCTCAGGGTGCCGGATTTGCCCTTTGTCATAGTGCTTGCGCAAGGCTCTCCCAAAAGGGGAACCTTGTCCTTCTGGTTCTCAACCTAATGTGTTTTAAGTTCTTAATGAATGTCTGAAACTAGAATACAATCTGTAAGGACTCTTTCCTTTGTGAGCTTGTGACATGTAGTAACCCAGAGTTGATGTCCTTTAGGTAAGTCACCATTCTTAAATTGTAACATATTATAGCTGTTTCTATACGTTTATAGAAGGAAATATAAGTGGAACTGGGGGGTAGGAGAGGGGGTCATTAGTTTTCTTATAAAACTAGAACTATAGTGGAATTGGCCGAATGTCAGTTCACATCACTTTGAGCAACTCAGAGTGGTCTTTCATGGAGAGGTGAGAGACGATTTCCATGGTAACTGGCAGGTGCAGAGACTGTGTCACCTGCATCAAACACCATGAAGCATCATTGCTGTTCCTTTCCAGCTGGTGGACCAACTGGGTGATCCCAGCCATCTCTGCACTGGTCGTAGCCCTGATGTACCACCTCTACATGGCAGAAGACTAAACACCTCCACAGAAGCCGATGGAAGAAAAGGTTGCCTTGGATCAGGAAGAAAGAAGCCAGTGTTAGCTGCTTCGATGAACAGAAACCTTCACCTGAAAAGTAATTTTAATACACCTGTTTTCCTCTCCTCCTACATTAGAAATAAGCCAAGCCAAAAGAACTGTTTTGTTCTGCCTACCCTTGAACTTTCAAATTGTGCCTTCTTCCTCATCAACTTCTTTTCAACATCCCACGACTACATGATTTACTCACTGTAGGCATGATCTTTCAAAAATGCACCTGGCTTTTCAAATATACCACCCTGTGTGCCTGTCGATGTGGGATGTAATTGTCTTTAATATTTCAAATCTCTGATTGTCTAGTGGAGTCATTTAATATATTAATTAAATGAAGGTTGTATGACGTGAAGGTTTGTATGATGTGAGGAAGGAAATATCTAGTTGAAAACTTGGTATTGCATGTTTCTCATTTAATTTCTCAAGGAAATTAAGAAAGGCCCTGGATATGATAGCCTAAGGATTTCTAAAAATTATTCTACCTGAAATAGATTATCAAAAGAAAAAGTGGAGACTTCTTCTCTGTTTTGATTAAAAAATACCAGCAACAAGAAACAAACTTGAGACCCATGAGAGGATGTTACAGCTATCCCTTCTCTCAGCTCCAAAATATCAATCCAAAGTTTTCGGTTATATAGGTTTTTAAGGCAAAAACTGTTTATGTATTCTTGTAAGGAAATACTGATTTTCTAATCCATAAACACACACATTTGAAAGAGATTGTGGGACATCTAGAATCTGATGTCTAAAGCCATTGAGCTGTTGGGGAGGAGCCTTTGGGGATCTAGCAGGGCTCCAAGGACTGAGTGGCTCATCTTTGATTATTTTCTCTAACCCAGGCCTTTTGTCTTTCCAAGTGGAAGCTGGGGGATGAATCTGTAGACACTCAGTACTCCAGTTAGCTGTGACTGTGCAAGTTTACATGGGCATGCTAGCTGACTACAGAGGTGGGGGTTCTTCAGAAACCACTGACACATTGAAAGGATTTTTTTTTTTTTTTTTTTTTTTTTTTTACTACAGAGCATAAATTTTTATAACCATTGACATGTATGACCCTTTGCCTCTTCTGTCACTGAAAGTTAAAGTTGGAGCAAATCTGGGAGGTGGGGAAGGATGCTGTATCATGTGGGAATCCTTTACTCAGATTTCAATAAACGCATGCCTGGAACAAAATCATGCCTCCTGTGATGGCCTTGTGGTGCTGACATTGCCTCTGAGTTCCGGGACATCATCGACATCAGAGTCCCTGGACTCTGGTCCACACGTGCTGCCTTGGCTTAATCATGGGTAGCTAAGGAGTGAACTAGAATGACTGTAGGACCTGCATTCCTCTTTTTGACACTCATACAGCTAGGATTCCCATGTCCGGTTCCTCGGTTTTTCTTCTAGGAGCAGAGAGAGGTTGGTTAACAGCTCAAGATGTATTTTTCAGAATCATCATTGTGGGTGTGTCTGCAAAAGGAGTAGTAAAACAAGAAATGTGTGCTCATCACCAGGGCTTTCTGTAATCTCAGAACACACTCCTAAGGAACTGTTGCTAATGGAGACCACACAGCATCGCCATTGGGAAGAGGAAAGCTGGTGCGGGGCATAAAAACCTTTTCTTGAGTATGTTCAAATTTTAAAGTTATGCCAGGTATTTCTTATTTCATATATATATGTATATGTATGTGTATATATATATATATATATATATATATGTATGTATATATATATTTAAAATATATTTTATTGATTTTGTACAGAGAGGAAGGGAGAGAGATAGAGAGCTAGAAACATCGATGAGAGTCATCCATCAGCCGCCTCTTGCACACCCCCTACTGGGGATATGCCCGCAACCAAGGTACATGCCCTTGACCGGAATCGAACCCGGGACCTTTCAGTCCCCAAGCCAACGCTCTATCCATTGAGCCAAACCGGTCTCGTCATATTTTTTAAGTTTAGTTATGACTTTGCTTTAGTTCTCTAAAGGATATACTCAAGAACTTCATTAATACTAGAGTCATAATGGTAATTTTATTGTTCATCTTGTATTATTACTGTGTTAATGAAAATTTAGGTGAATACAATTTCATGTAATTATGGTTTAAAGGGTTATGTGTTTATATGTAATATTACTGTCATTTTTCTTTTGAGCACTTCCTGGATGCCAGACACTTCTCTGAGAAATTGATATGAATCACATCCTTTGTCTTTGTAATTTCTGCCAAATCTTGTTTTGCAATAGCACAGCTAGGATTGCAACCCAAGTCTGTGTGGTTCCAAATACATTTCCTTTGACTACAAGACTCGTTGCAGGTTTACATGCATATTGAAAGATTTCTACCAGGGTGGCTCCATGCTATGCACTATGAAGGATGCACAGGAATTGGATGCTAGGAGCTTCTATCTCATCACGGAAATAAACGTTTGCACAAACCACTGTGACAGGAGGTGTACCAAGAGACTATAGAGCAAGTCCTAGGATCTGCAATCCTAGAGGTATTCCATTGTGTAAATGTATTTTGCTTTTTTATTCACTCATACTGATGGGCACTTGGACTCTTGGGCTGTTTCCAGATCTTGGCTACTGTACCTAATGCTACAGTGAACATAAGGGCATATATTATTTTGAATTAATTTTTCGGGTTTCTTAGAATATAGAAGTGGAATTGCTGGGTCATCAGGCAGTTTCATGTTTAATTTTTTGAGGATTAAACTGCATACTGCTTTCCACAGTGGCTGCATTCTGCATTCCTACCAACAGTGCACAAGAGTTCCCCTTTTTCCACACCCTCACCAGCACCTGCTGTTTGTTAACTTATTAATGATAGCCATTAATAAGGTGTGAGGTGATACCTCATCATGGTTTTAATTTGCATCTCTGATGATTAGTATCAAGCAAAGTTTGGTTGGAAATATTAGGTCTATGAAGCCTTTCATCGAGATACTTCTCTAAGGTAGGGCTCTACGCTTGCTCTTATGATGTGTATCTGTGGTGAGGGCAGTTGGGCCTGTTGTGAGTTCAGATATAACATGTAATTGGTAGTGGAGGTAATAAATTAAATTTAACGGTATCTCTTCACTATCTTGAAAAATGCTTCCCTTCGAAGAAATGGTCTGGGAAGACTACTGTCAGACAGGTCATAGTATGAATTTCTTTCTCTTTGAGTGTGTATGATATGGGTCCACATGAAATCCAAATAAAAGGTTTTAATCTTACTGGTAGGTATATATTTCTGTTATAGAGAAGTATGATAGGGTGACAAAGACTTTGAGCCATAACTATCTTTTCTTTGGATAACATTCTAGAGAAAAAAAGTGGAAACATGAGGTCAAGGAGAAAGAGAGACTTTGTGAAATTTCTGTTGGTGAAGGACTAGTGGCAAAGCCTATTTTACCAGAAGGAGAATGATGATGGCGAATTGTTCTGAGATTTAAATTGTACTGAGCACATTTAAGTGATATTTCAGCTTTCTTTTAAAATGGCAATATTTAGCCGAAGCTGGTTTGGCTCAGTGGTAGAGCGTCGGTCTGCGGACTGAAGGGTCCCAGGTTCGATTCCGGTCAAGGGCATGTGCATTGGTTGCGGGTACATCCCCGGTAGGAGGTGTGCAAGAGGCAGCTGATCGATGTTTCTCTCTCATTGACGTTTCTAGCTCTCTATCCCTCTTCCTTCCTCTCTGTGAAAAATCAATAAAATATATATTTTAAAATGGCAATATTTAAAATATACCAACATTTATATTGGTATAAATATACAATATACAATATACCAACATCTGCCCTTTACAGATATTTAAATTCATGATGAAGAATTATAAAGGACAAGTGAACATTTTGTTTTAATTCTCTTAAGGTATAATCTACACAGGTGTGTGAAGATTGTGGTCTGCTACCCTGTTTCCCCGAAAATAAGACAGTGTCTATATTAATTTTTTTCCCAAAGTTGCTCTAGGTCTTATTTTCAGGGGATGTCTTATTTTCGGGGAAACACGGTATGTGCTCGTCCACTGTTCTGCCACAATAGGAATTCAAAGCATGATTTTAAAATAGGGATAGTATATGTTGAGCAATGTTAATGCTGCATGCTTAATTTTATTTATTTATCCTCACCTGAGTATATTTTTTCCATTAATTTTTAGAGAGAGGGGAATAGAGGGAAGGAGGGAGAGGGAGAGAGAAGTATCTATGTGAGAGAGAGATATCAATTGGTTGCATTGATATGTCCCCCACCAGGGCTGGGGATAGAACCTGCAATCCAGGTATGTGCCCTTGATCAGGAATCGAACCCTCAACCCTTTGGTGCTAGTGTTCATGCTCTAACAACTGAGCACACTGGCCAGGACTGCTTGTGTAATTTTATATCAGGCTGCCTAATTTTTCTTATTTCTTTCAAAATATTCAATTGGATTGTGTCAGTAACAAGTATTGCTTTAGTTCTCTAAACAGCCTGGCTCACAGAAAGCATTTGAGGATTTGAATTGAAACTACATTGTGAGTTGTATTGAATTTTCCATGGCTTACAAGTCTTTAAAACCCTTCCTCCCCCTGAACTGGGGACTGCTTCATTGGAAACACTACATCTAACAATATTGTTTTGTTTTGTTTTTTAAATATATTTTATTGGTATTTTACAGACAGGAAGGGAGAGAGATAGAGAGCTAGAAACGTCGATAAGAGAGAAACATTGACCAGCTGCCTCTTGCACACCCCCCACTTGGGATGTGATCGCAGCCAAGGTACATGCCCTTGACCGGAATCGAACCCGGGACCTTCCAGTCCGCAGACTGACGCTCTACCACTGAGCCAAACCGGTTTCGGCTAACAATATTGTTTTTAGGTGAAGGTAAGTGGGCATCTCTGAGGGTGCTACAATGGAAACCACCCACTCTTTCAGGAAGGCATCTGCCCTACTAAATCCAGGTCAAGATCCAGGAGAGAGGAAGTCTTGGCCTAAGACCT